GAGCAAAAATACCGGACGGTATTAATACAAACAAGCAACTGTTAACCCAGTTTTTTAAAGAGGAACCTGGAATGAAGTCGAAACTACAAAAGGTGATAGCATATAGAGAGCAACGAAATCTAAACATAGAGGAAATCGAGGAGAAGATAAAGCAGAAGGAAGACGAGCTACAAAAAGAATTAGAGGGAGAGAAAGAGAAATTCGAAATGGCTGTTTCGAGCGTCATGGACAAATGGATCTGCCAAGCGAAAGTTGAAGGTTAGTTCATAAAGATAATATGAAAGAACAAAAACTACATTATGATGTTGCCTTGCTCTTTGCGATACTTTGTTTTCTGGTTCAGTCTGTTCTTTGTAGTAAACGCAGTTTTGTCAGATCATAGATCGTTGTAGAAAGTGCATGCAGAGGAGTTTCTTTTTCAATTGTTTGCTTCCCCTCTCCCATCCCCAACACGGCCTGTATAGTTTTTAGAATACCGTAAAATTCCCAAAATAAGCCCCTCCATGTATAAGCTCCTCCGAATATAAGCCCCCCAAACCGGTAACGCAAAAAAACCCTCCGTTACATCGCCCCTCCAAATATAAGCCCCCCGGGGGGCTTGTACTTGGAATATTGCTCTCAAATACAAAGTACAACAAAGCAAAAACGGTAAATTTACCTCCGACAATAATGCTAGCCCAATCGGTTTTGAAACGCAAATTTCCCTCAGTAGATAAGCCCCTCCGAATATAAGCCCCTCCAAAAATAAGCCCCTCAAAAAGGGCATTTGAAAAATATAAGCCCCGGGGCTTATTTTCGGAATTTTACGGTAATTACTTACGCTCCGGTTGTTCAAACCTTAAATAACGCTGTGTCCAACATCCTCGGAGACCCAGGGGCGGTCAGTCGGGCCGGGAGAAAAGGTGCGACAAAAGTTTTCAAACACAGGTGGAAAAACTCCTGGGTACCGACTCTCACCGGACCATTTCCAAACGGTCAAGCGAATGCTGGCTCCTGATTGGGCACAAAAAATGCTTTGTATTATTGTGCCCAATAGGCGAACAGCATCTCCTGAGTTCCTTTCATGAGTTCGTACACGACGGCTATTGACTAGATCACGGCTTGTCTGGCTCATGCACCAAAGAAATGCACGCAGTCAGGAATCTTTCAGTCAGGGCGGATAAAGGTTATAAACGCTACATTTCGAAATACTGGTAGTGTTTACACTGGACCCTAAATAAGCTAAGGAATATTTCAAGACAAGTAAATTTTAGATTCTTCAAGTAAAAGAAAGCTTCAGACAAACCTATCTTTTCTACTTCAGGTTTTCCTACGCAACCTAATTAAGATTGATTGACATGCTTCGCCTTTCTCAACAAAGCTTGGAAACCGCAAGTTCGCTAAGTCGGTTTTAACGAGATGCAAGGTAAAGTTACTTGAGATTTTGCTTAGGCCTTCACACACGCATTTTTGGTTAAGTAAAACTTAGCAGCTCTTAAATCTTAGTTAACAGCCTAGCGTAAAGACAACCACATCCTCGGAGACCCAGGGGCAGTCAGTCGGGTCGGGAGAAAGGGCACGACAAAAGTTTTCAAGTATGGGCGAAAGAGCCCCTGGGTACCGACTCTCACCGAGCTATTTCCAAAAATTCGAGCGGGTGCCGGCTCCTGATTGGGCACAAAAAATGCTTTGTATTATTGTGCCCAATTGGCGAACAGTTTCTCCTGAGTTCCTTTCGTGAGTTCGTACATGATGACTATTGTTTCGATCACGGCTTGTTTGGCTCATGCACCAAAGAAATGCCGGTAGTCAGGAAACTTTCAGTTTGATAAAAAATCCCCATCTGATTTCAAAATACTGTCTGCCCGTGTGAAACTAAAGACGCTTTTCCAAAAATACAATCTTGAGCTTACAACAGGTATTCACGCTTGCATCGGTGACGTCTTGCGTAAATATTAGGGAATTTTTAAAAGATACCACGACGGCTGACAATCACGAAAACGTCGCATGGAAAAGGGAATTCACATATTTTCAGTTTCTATCATGATTATTCCAACTCGCTTACTTTGTCAAATGCAAGCGAACTCTTCTGGAGCTGAAATTCTATCAACATATCCAAGTCCATGAAGGGAATGAATTTTGTCATTTGCAGTTGACGGCAAAGAAATGTACAAAGAAAGTGTGATGCACGAACAAAGTTTTTGTTTTGTCTTATCAAGCTATTGCTATTGACTTTCTCATCGCCGCCGCATCGTTATCTTCCTATTATTTACGATACATCGTGATGAGTCAAAAACAGAATATTCTCGAAGCAAATTGAACTGCTCCTGCTGTTAACATTCCAAACGTTTTTTTGACTCATCGGTAGTTCCTCCATTTCTGGTTAGGAAAGTAGAAAATAAAAGTTTTCCTTGCTTGCTCAAGTTTGGTGAACGAACCAGGCAAGTGTGGCAAGACAATAGCCGTCGTGTACGAACTCACGAAAAGAACTCAGGAGAAACTGTTCACCAATTGGGCACAATAATACAAAGCATTTTTTTGTGCCCAATCAGGAGCCGGCATCCACTTGAATTTTTGGAAATAGCTCGGTGAGAGTCAGTACCCAGGGGCTCTTTCGCCCATACTTGAAAACTTTTATCGTGCCCTTTCTCCCGACCCAACTGACTGCCCCTGGGTCTCCGAGGATGAGACAACCACTGTCTACACGAAAACTAAAGACGCTTTTCCAAAAATACAAGCTTGAGCTTAGAACAGGTATTCACGCTTGCATCGATCACGACCTTCGTAAATAATGCCACGACAGCTGACAACCACGAAAACGTCGCATGAAGAGTGAACTCACATTTTTTCAGTCTCTATCGTGATTATTCCAACTCGCTTACTTTGTCAAATGCAAGCGAACTCTTCTGGAGCTGAATTTCTATTAACCATACCCAAGTTCATAAAGAGAAAGAAAATTTTGTTATTGCTTGTTTACATCCTTCACAAAACGTGAAATTAGGCATTTTCACGTTGTAGTCGTGCAGTGACGGCAAAGAAATATACAATAAACCGGGCAACTGTGGCGAAATAATAGCCTTCGTGTACGAACTCACGAAAAGAACTCAGGAGAAACTGTTCGCCGATTGGGCCGATGATACAAAGCATTTTTTGTGCCCAATCGGGAACCAGCATTCTCTTGACCGTTTGGAAATGGTCCGGTGAGAGTCGGTACCCAGGGGCTCTTCCGCCCATGCTTGAAAACTTTCGTCGCGCCTTTTAACCCGGCCCGACTGGCTGCCCCTGGGTCTCCGAGGATGTGTGTCCACCGGATGCACCTGAAAGTCTAAGGAAAACCAATTGCGTAATATAATCCACTGGCAGTTTTCAAAAAGTGGATAACGCTTTCCACTTTTTGAAAACTGGGGATTGGTGATTAGAGTTTCGCGTGCTCTGATTGGTCGAGGATTGCGTCGTGTGTGGCTATATTAATTTTTCCCCGCGCGGGGTGATTTTAGTACCCAAACGAGGCATTAAATGACTTTAGCAAAGATCAGCCTTATCGGCCTGTAATCGTGCAACAAGGCAGGTTTAAATGGGTTGGAAAAACTCGAAACATTACTTTTCAACTAGTTTTGCAGCAATGTTGTAAAACAAGATGCAAGTTGCACGTTTTATTGTTTATTGTTTATTTGCTTTTTGGTCAGTCAGACACATAAAATAAAGAAAAGTTAAGAAAAATGATTTTGTTTTTTCTTTGTATTGCAGATAACGAATCTACTCTTTTTGTTGTGCTTTTAACAAACAATTTAATTGTCTACAGCCATGAAATTAAAGAGTTTTCAAGGAAGACCCGAAGGTATTTGACCGAAAAATTGGCTCTCATTCCAAGCACGAAGCTACTAATAACCGATATTGGGTACTGGCTACATTTGAACACAGAAGAACTTCCCCAAGAAACTCTTCATTTACACATCAATGAGAGAGGAAAATTAGCTCTTGCCACAATCTTTGAGCTATTGAACAAACGTTGGCAGACTTTAGATCTTATTTCAGTGTTCCGGGAAGTTCAAAGAACCTTACCTATCAAGAAGGCTTCCCAACAGTTTGACCAAGGGAATTTCCAAGTTTCTGCTTCTGTTTGCGACTTACTTGAAAATTTGTCTTGCCTTCCAAGACTTCAGAAAACGGAACCATGAACACGACACAGGCGCCCCACTATCTTCAACCCCCCTTTTTTTCCGCTCCTTGCTCAGACACCCCTTCAATTTCATGATCAAGGGGGAGTTTCTACAATGAACCACGTCAATGTTTGGCATGGGGCGTGAGGACAGGCTGGTGGTACATAACGTTGACTTCAATAAAATCCCGCCACTAAAAACCTGGATTTTCCAAGTTAACCTAAACAGGTTCTTATATAAATGGTAATTAGCACAAGTATAGGCTATTTAGGTTCTTAAATAGGTTCTTGTTTTCTGAAGAAAAAAAATGCAATGGAGCTAAGAGTATTAAGCGTTCAGCTCATTCCTCATTGATATAGAATCTGCATACCAAATTAGAAGTTACGTAAAAATGGCCATAAAAAGAAGAACTAAAGCACTGACCTCAAGAGTATTGTCCTACTTTTGAGCATAACATTCATTTATTGCAATTGCTCGTCCTATTCCAATCAGCTCTAATAGTTGATGTAACTCTTAAACGATAATGATAATGCCTTGTAATCTAGCATTTAACTCATATACAGACTGAAATCTGGACATTAATATAAGACATCTATATTTTCTCGTCTGCCTCTCTGGAAATCTATGATAAATAAGAGAGCAACAAATCCTGCGATATATCAACCATGGAAGGAACACAACAACTTGAAAGCAATATATGGAGACTGATATCATTGGATCCTCTATTGAGCTATAGACAAAATTGTATTCACCATTCTTAAATAGACCATAATGCACATTGTTCACCCCCCGAATTTTACATTACCATTGTCTTTGATTTCTGTTCGGACAAGAAAGGTGCATTATGATCTATGTGAACATGGTAAATTCATAACTCATAATTCATAACTCTACAGATCGGCTTCTGTATTGTTAGGTTGCCTTATTTTGTTATACTTTCATTACCTTTACTTTTTCCTGTGCTTAGAATTGCGTTTTTTGTTTATTTTCAGGGGGGTTGTAATGTATTGTAGCTTAGGTACACTGTGGCTATGTTCACACGGGATAGCTTTTCGTGGCGCTACGAAAGGCGGTCCGTTATAGTGTGAACACCTATCCAATATGTGACTCTCCGCTTTAGAGATGGGGGCGGCGCAGCTTCACTCCCTTAGCAGGGACTTTAAGATCCGACTACGCGACGGCGACAAGAACGTCGCTTAAAAAGTGAATTTGCCTTCTTTCAGTCTTTATTGCGATTATTCCTACCCACTTACTTTGTCAATTGTAGGCGAACCCTCCTGAAGCTGAATTTCAAGGGACCATATTCAAGCTCAGAAAGAGAAATAAAATTTCGTCGTTGCTTTGTTACGTCCTCCATAAAACGCGAAATTAGACATTTTCACGTCGTAGTCGTGCAAAAAAGAGAAAGAAATGTACACAAAAGTGTGATGCACGTGCGAAGTTGTTGTTTTGCTTATTAAACCTATTTTTTTTTTTTTTACTTTGTCGTTGTCGTCCGCGTCCTTGGATCTTAAAGTCCCTAATATACAGAAAACGAGCTGCCACAACAGTTTTTATGTGTGAACAGAAGCCCAATCCGATATGATTTTCGCGGTGGTGCAAAAGCTATCTGATATAGAGTGAACACCTCTTCGATATGTGACGCTCCGCTTTAGAGATCGGCGCGGCGCAGCTTCGCTCCGTCACAGAAATCGCGCCGCCAGAGCCGTTCTTGTGTGTGAACAGAAGCCCAATCCGATATGATTTTCGTGGCGGCCCAAAAGCCATCCGGTATAGTGTGAACACCTCTTCGATATTTGACTCTCCACTTTAGACATAGGCGCGGCGCAACTTTGCTCCGTCACAGAAAACGCGCCGCCACAACAGTTTTTATGTGTGAAGAGAAGCTCAATCCGATATGATTTTCGTGGCGGTGTAAAAGCTATTCAGTATAGTGCGAACATGGCCTGTGAGTAAAGTTTGTTTGTTTGAATAAAATTATCTATTAGCCATAGCCATCGGATGTACGAGTCGTAAGCGGTAAAAGTAACAGTAAATGTAGCGGCCAGAATCGTTGCATTTACCCCAAAACATGAGCATATATATCATTTGCATTGCGTGAGCTGTATCACTTCCAGTGGCTTCCGATAGAAGAGCGTGAAAATTTTACGCTTCTTTTCAGTGTTGAAATGGCTTGACCCCATAATATTTCGTCAACCTAGTTAAGATGTTCACCACAAGGCGCAATCTAAGATCTGTCAATGGCCACCGTCTGCGTGATGTACATGTTGGATACAATTTGTACAACTGCGGCTTGCGGTCTTTTTTCACGGGCAATTTTTAACCCAGTTGTGGAATCGCAGGTTTCCTGTAGGTGTGACCCTATAAATTTGAGAGGCTGATTACACGATCCGGGAGTGATAGTGACGGTGTGAGTGTTGATGAAAGTGACAGTGAACTTCCATAATCACTAGCTAAAGGGAGGTGCACAAGAAGGAGCACCAAAAGTGGACCGAGTGCCGGACAAGTTTTGCATTTCCCATTCCGTTGAGCTGGCTATTTTGAAGCCGCCTAGATTCATTGCCAATTGGAACATAAACTACAAGCACACTCTCCTTCGTAGAGGCTCCTACTGGTATCTTATTTACAAAATTTTGAATAAAACTTTAAGAGTAATTAACGCGTGTGGGACGACGGGAAGAGAGAAAGGCGCGGTTTCCCTCCTTCTTTCTCTGCGTCCGTGTTGCCTTACGCTTCCCTTTCTCCTCTTCTAGGCCTCCTAGGGACACAAAGAGACCTCTGCGAGGAAGAAAAGAACGCGAAATTACAAGTAAATGCTCTGAGAAAGCAATCTTTAGAGTGAGTATATTTTTACAGTCGTACCTCCTGAAAGCGACCACCAAACGGATGCGAAGACTTAGTGGTCGCTTACGGGAGGTGATCACTTAGGAGAATATAGGACAACAGAAGGTCTCTTTCGAGAATAGGCCCTGTACTTTTTGGAAGAAAATTCGTTGCATGCAATTTATAAGTCTTGATATGTTGTGACGTTCTTCATATCCATTGAGCAGCGCGGCAGATACAGTGTATAGAGATCAGACCACGTGTCAAGTGGTCGCTTACAGAAGGTTGAAACAACGAAGAATTATAGAACTGGCCTCAAACGTGCTCACGGTTGCTTACGAGGTGGTGGTCGTTTACGAGAGATTCGAATTACAGAGTTTTGTCGGAAAAAATCTTAGTGTTTTGGATAGATCGTCGCATATGGGAGATGGTCGCTTACATGGGGTAGTCGCGCATAGAGGTTCAACTGTCAGCACTGGTTTGGGCTTGTCTTGGTGTATATATAGCATGAATTGTTTTTCTGCAAAGTGAGATGCGCTGACAAATGTTCTTTTATTTCAAATGTCGCTCTTATTTTGAAACTTATGGTCTAAAAATTCATCGCTTTTCTTGATTGACACAACGGCAGCAAAAACAGTCAATTTATGAAAACTGTTGTTAGTGTGTGCTCTACGTCCCTCTGTCAACAAAAGAATAGCTACCATTCTTCTTGGCCATAATCAGACTAACTGTTAACGGATGCCTTCAAGGATATCTCATGTGCTTGTGACGTAGCGCATCCCGATTAAACTGCAGATTAAAGCTCTCTGAACTAGCTGTAGCTATCATAAAAAAAATCAATAATTCTTTAAAAAAAAAACCTTGGAGTGTTGATTTAAATGGCACTGAGTAATTTTTCCTGTTTGTTGTTGGTTGGCTACACCCACTTAAAGAAATTCTCTTGGCTCTACAGCACACGTAAGACTATACCTCCCTTTGAAATACCAACCCTTTTGCATTTTAAGCTTTCATTCTGTTGCTTGGTGTTCGGGTTAAAGAGATTTGACTGTATTTAGTCTTAAAAACTTTCCTTTGAAACTTTTCATTTTCACCTCCGGCCTTTAATTACACGGCTTAGCATTGTGAACAACCTTGTTTTCTTTACGCAGAAAGTTAAAGCGTCTGATGAGTGTCACCTTGTCGCCGATTTACGCGCACTTTTCACAGACTTTGACAGGCCTTGCTACTATCCGAGCGTTCAGAGATGAAGCAAGATTCAAACTGGAAAATGAACACAGGCTGGAAATCAACCAACGAGCGAACTTTTGTGGTAAGAAAATTCGACTTCGGAAAGTTCTCGCAGCGACCAAAACAATTTCATGCTCACAGTCCTCAGCTTTTTCAGCTGGTCAGTAGTTGAGAGATTTCATTGTAATTAAATCATTGAATCATTCTTCCCATCAGCTCTTGTGGCATCACAGTGGTTAGGCTTATTCTTACAGTATAGTGGTGTTGCTATGGTAACTGCAGTGTCGTTTATTGCGGTGCTTGAGCATCATTTCAGTACCGTTGATCCAGGTGAGTGTTTTTCTTTGTGCACATGTACAGGTAGACTTCCTCGCAGATCGTGAAGTCATAGCTTTTATTAGATTCCAGCAGAATCCTACAATGTCCTACAGCTAGTGAGAACGTGGCGTTCTTCAGGCATGTCGTCAGACCTTCAATAGAGGATAACGCCTCTTAAAACTCCAAATGCGAGGTCCAAATGCAGTTTTCTTAATTTTACATTCCCATCCAGTTATTGCATTCCTATACAGTGTGCCGCCCTGCGCTTTATTTTCAGTCAGAACTATTGCCGTTCTGTGCTATTTTCCGGAAGCGGCGTGGCTAAGAGGCCAGAGCGCTGAACCTGGGGGTACCGAGCTCAATTCTCGCAACTGGATTTGTCCTCGGTAGTCCTGAGTTTAAATCCACGGCCCACGCCTGAAAGGTAGCCAACTGGTTCGCCTCCTACCGCATGGCAATCTTAACCATGTTACGTTCCACTTGTATTGCTTGTTTCATAAAAGCCCCACAAGGGTGAAGATAATTAAGTATTTATACCCTCACATCCTTCCTTTCCTGACTTTCTGTTACCTTGAGCCCGGCGATCTTTCAACAGCCCTGATGTCTTTTTTGAGTTCGTTACCATCCCTTAAACTGCGCGACTATATTGTTTATTTATGTTCTCCATCAACTGTGAAGGGTCCTTTGAATCTTGGCTACTCTTCTTGAATGAGTGATTTTTGAGGGCTAGGCACACCTTAAATTTCACGGTCCCACGACTCCGTGAAATTTAAGATGCCGTGGTGGTAACATCCAAGTGGTATTTATTATTATATTGTTCCGTACGTCTTCCTCTAAAGGTCTGGTGGGTTTGGCAATTTCGTACGCGCTGTCAGTCACGGACCGCCTCTCAGGCATGGTGACGTCATTTACCGAAACTGAGAAACAGATGGTGAGCGTGGAGCGAGCGGTCCAGTACGTTGAAGATGTTCAGCCTGAAATCAGTCCTCGTGGCACGGTCAGTATAAATAATAAGTGGCTCGTTTTTACTTCCAGCAAGCTCTTGCTCCCTTGACCCGGGGCTAAACAAGACACGACAAGAGTTAAACGCTCTTGATCGTCTCGCGGTCAGGTCGATTCTCTAGATTCGCGCATAATTGTTTTAGATATCTCATTTTCTTTGGTGCAACAATTCGGCGAGGCTCCCGCACCTGACGCCTCCAAAGCATTTAATGAACTCTTATGTTTATATGACTTAAGGAAACAGTACTGCTGAGTTTTGCAATCGTAAGTACTATCCACTGGATAGTAATTACGATTGCAAAACTCAACAAAATGCCACTTTAACCGGCCAGGAAGAAGAAGGAGACGTTCAGTTAAAGGTATCTTAGCTTTGTTTTGTTATATTTTGGCTTTTGGGCTATTTTAGTTCATGGGAATTTCGACGACTCAGCCTATTTTGTCCATGTGAATATTAAAATATTCATTTGACACGTACTACGTCTGGGCCTCCTGTGTTGATACACGTTATTTTTATGGAGGAATTGTCGTATGTGCTTACCCAATATTTTGTCTCCTGTGTTCATATTCGCTTTTATTTTTCACTGCCGCTCATTTTCACTTTGCTGGCCGCTAGCATTTCTCATTGTCTCACAGCCGCTATGAATTTTCATGTTCTTCTTCCTACAAAATTCGTCTCTTTTGTTTTCAATCACTCGCTCTAGCTCTTTCTCTGTTATCCACGTGAGCGTAAACATCAAAAATAACGTGGAAAAACACACGACTTTGTTATTGTTTTTTCTTTCAAAAAAGTCAGGGCGGCCATGCGATTTCTTTCCAAATAAATTAACCTTGAGTTGCATCTGTTGATTGAATTATTTTACATTGTTATGCCTGTGGTGCGGACGGACCGTCGGGCGGTCGGGCGGTCGGTGTACGGTCACGTGATTACCATATTTTCTCGGATGGGTAGTTTACCACATTTTTTTACCCATGGTGCTCCGCTGCGCGCTTCGCGCGCGAGAGCTCCGCTATAAACTCCTGAGGCTATCCATTCTATATCCACTGGATAATTACTCTCTATCCAGCTGATTCAGTAGATAACCCAATTGGTTTCCCTAACATTTCCCTAGATAAAGATTTATCCAGTGGATAATCCTATCAAGCCTTTAAAAAACCAGGGCAAGGGTTCCAAATGCATATTTTTTGTACCATTATCTCACTGTCTATTCATTTGTCCTGGTTAATTTTCAACGGAATGTTTCGCTGTTTAGCTCTTAGTCGAGAATCGTCGACTCCAGCTCTGATCCTCCTTTGCCGATCTATAATGTATTGTTATTGACATAGAGTACGTCTGGGCTGCCTGAGACATTACCAGCATATTTTAAAATACTCAATTGCTTGAAAGAAACGAACACTGGGCTAGTTAGCAGTCGGTCCTTACCAGGAGGCACATGTGTTATCAGTGTGTAACACCAGTTCATTTGGGAATTAAAGGATTCAATATTTTTAATTTGGGGAGCGTTCATAATGGTTTGGGGCCGGGTAGGAGCCACCTTGGTTGTGTTTTGAGGGCTGGAACCAGACTCGTACCCCGTCGCTTTTTATGTGTTTTGGGGTTGAGAGAATATTGGGGGTTAGGTTGAGAAGCGCGGGGTCTCATGGGAACGTAGGAAGGAAAAATAGCAATTGACCACTCCAGAAAGCACCATAACATACCATAATACTGTTTGTTGGTCACTCCAAAATTTTGCATAGGCTTTGTCTTCAGTTTCTCTTGGGATTTAAAATGGCCCCAACACGAGGAGCCGCAAGCAGTAAAATTTCTGTCCCGTAATTTAATCAGTTAAATCATCAAATTAAAGTTGACAGGTCTTTCTGATAATCAAAGCGACCGCTCGGTTAAC